ATATCATCATATCATCTTTTTATTCCATAACCTCATAAAACATTTGTTTAGTCAAAATGAATGGAAGGCACAACGTTCGATTTTTAGGATATGATTTTTGGAGAAAATTTAGCATTGAACCCACTGCACAATTCGAGCACAGTGAATTGATTGAGGATATGCATAACGAAGGAACAGGGGTTGAAGAATTTCGAGTAGGCGAGGGTGATAGGGCCAGGGAAATTCTCACAGGAGAACAGAAAACTAAACTGGAAGAGATGAAACAGCTTTTCAAAGTAGCAATAGAGGGAGAAGTCCTAGATGTCACACTTCTTCTCTCTCACAAAATCGAACTCAAAGAGGAGTTCCAAAATTCACCAGCTGTTAGGATCAACCCCTATCCAACGTCCCCTGAAATGCAAAAGCGGATTAATCGTGAGCTAGACAAAATGATTAGTCAACAGGTGATTGAACCCAGTAAGAGTGATTGGGCTCTTAGCACAGTCCCTGTGATTAAACCCACTGGTGAAGTTCGTCTCTGTCTAGATGCTAGACGACTAAACGATCGGACTAGAAGGGATGCTTATCCTCTCCCGCACCAAGATCGTATATTGAGCAGACTAGGGCCAAGTCGGTTTCTTACCATTATTGATTTGACTAAAGCTTTTTACAAATTCCGCTTGATCCTAGTTCTCGAAAATACACGGCGTTCTCGGTGTTGGGCAGAGGACTGTTTCAGTTCACCCGACTGCCCTTCGGGCTAGTCAATAGCCCTGCTACGCTAGCTCGGCTAATGGACAAAGTCTTGGGTTACGGTGAACTCGAACCGAATGTGTTCGTCTACCTCGACGATATCGTTGTTGTAAGTAGCACATTCGAAGCACACCTTCAAACTCTGGCAGAAGTTGCCCGACTGAGGTCCGCAAAGCTCTCCATTAATCTCGACAAATCAAAATTTTGCCTGAGCGAATTGCCGTACCTCGGGTATATCATCTCATCCGATGGTCTATGACCAAATCCCGAACGAGTTGAGGCTATAATAAAATACGAACGGCCAACATCACTTCGTTCCTTACGTCGGTTTTTGGGAATGTCGAATTATTATCGTCGTTTCATTCCCCGCTTCAGCGAAATTTCGGTGCCTCTGACAGATCTCTTGAGGAAGAAGCCTAAAACGATCATCTGGAATTCAGCTGCCGAGAAAGCTTTCATAGAACTGAAAGAGAGTTTGATCGCAGCTCCAATCCTCGCAAACCCGAACTTTCAACTTCCTTTTCAAATTCAAACAGATGCGCAAGACGTGAGGAGTTCACTCTGCAAAAAGCTGTCTGCTGCGTGGTATACGGGTGTATGTGCCACATTCTCTACGGAAGCAAGTTCTCGAGGTGCTATTGAGGAGATGATCGCAAACTGTGTCGAGTGCCAGTCGGTGAGACCCACGTCATTACACTCCTGGGAAGCCCCTATTGCTCCGTTCAAAAGAGGACCATTCATGGACACATACTTTTTCATTCTGGTCGATACCAAAAGGCCGGAGGTTCGAGTATGTAGCTCCATCACTACCGATAGCACAATCCGGATGTGTCGTGAAATTTTCAGTATTTTTGGAATACCGTCGGTGCTTGTGAGCGATCACGGTGTTCAGTTTACATCCGAGCAACTTCAGCAATTCCAGCGGATGAACGGTATAGTTCACAAGATGGGAGCGCCCTGTCACTTTGCAACAAATGGGCAAGCTGCGTGCTATGCGCAGACAATGAAGTCGCTAAAGTGCACGAAGACGCAGCTAAATGTGGAACTCTGTAACCTTCCATCCTACGACTGGACAATCACCCGCGATGATGATGTTTGGTCGACATTTAAGATCAAGAATTGACTTAATGCTATCGAAGAACGAGGTCGTTAGTACACGCAAAGCAAAAATCTATTACAATGAATGTTAGTTCCGTTTCCTACCATCCTCTGTTCATGAACATCGCAGCGAATGTTAGAAGTTGACCTTACAGGCGATGTAATGGTTTTTTGTCTTTTTCATTTCGTGTTCTATCTACGCTTTCGACCAGTAAGCTTGTAGAACGACGCACATTGTAGAGCATTGAAGAACGACGCACACACTTGCCTCGAATCTCTCCAGCAGAAAAAGCATACGAAGTCGAGTATGTGAGAAAATGAGCGCTTCATGTTTGCTTTTAGGCCATCCATATTCAGGAGCATGGAGAGAGCAGTGAAGAAAGCACAGGTCTGATAATCGCAACGTTCGTGGTTCAAGTCCAGTCGGCAATTTGATTCCTATTTTGTTTTCGACATATCTAATTTACCTCACTAATACACTCTACATTTTTCGGTCTCCAATTTTCTTGCATTGGACCGCAGCTAGGTATATCGCATCCTCGGTTCATGCGGTCTCCACTAACATCCTCTTATGATGAATCCCACATAATTGTAAGCGAATCTTACATCCCTCGGTTGGGTGTACGAAGAACTACTGTTGAGTACGCCCCTGGCGCCCCAACACACCTTACCTACACAAACACCAACGCACCCAGGTATAGTCTCTTCCAAAGACGTTAGGCAAACGTCACGATAAACCGTTGATAATAGGCAAAACACAATAACATCAAACCACAATTTCCCGTGCGGGATCAGTTAGTTTTGTGGTCTAAATTTAGTTAATTTTAAAATCTACACCCTCTTTATTTTGGATTTGTATGGTTGAAATGAGAAAAATAGGTGAAAAATATTAAATAATCGAAATAATATAATCTTTCTCCTTATGTTTCCGCACTGTGCAATCGTCCAGTAGAAGGTCAAAAACTTTAATTTTCTAATCTGCGCAGATTTTAATTGATTTAAAATGTTTAGAACTTGATCATTATACACTATAAATTACATTGTTTTCACCTAATAAGAGTGAACAGTGTTAACCACTTAAAATCCCTATCAGCATAATTGAATCATTCCACGGTTACTCTGGAAGAACAACTTATTGAAAAAATTCAGTGTCGCTGAAACACCCGACTAGGGCTCTACATTTTCGAAGCTCTAAAATGAACTCGAGATGCGTTTCTCTCATACAACGCGTTCAACGCTTCATTTCCATAACGCCTAGCTAGACTATCAGCAAGAAACGAAAATGAAAAAGAAGCACGCTTCGAAGGAAAGGCTGGCTGTGGATCTTCTCGCCGTTGCTTTGCTCATCGCTTTCGTAAATAACGTCGATTTTATAGTTGAACGAAACCTCATTATGGCTTTCAATCCCTTTCACGAACACTCTATCACCGCTCTTCCACGACCATTGAAGCCCAAAAAAATGTATGGAAAAATAGCCCGCTCGAACATTAAGAAACTAGCCTCAAACGCAAGAAGGGCACATAAGATTTCGTTTGGTGGGTTTTTCAGAGAAACTAATTTTTTTTATAATGTTATTCTACCAGAGACACCGTGATTCAAGCTGGCAACATATTATACCTTATGTTAATGGACTGATAGAATGATATTTACATAAAATAGTGGACTGCTTTTGAAGTTGCTGATCGAAACATATTAGTGCTCGGTTCAAGGGAAAAACCGCTTTGACCTGTCGGAATTTAAAGTGCATCAGATATGCAGCAACGCACACCGTACGTGGGTAGATCACCTTTTCGTGGTACGTTACCACCGATTCCTAGTCTTGACTACTTCAAACGAACAGGATTTTTCAGTAATCAAAGGAACGCATCTTAGTCCTTGTTACTTTTTATGCCTTGTTGATGGTGATAAGTCCTCGGGTTGCCTGGACCGAGGATGATCTTGAAACAAGGAGAAAATGAGTTAGTTAGTCTTCATTTATGTGATTCCTTATCTTCTATTCGTTGTTCCTTAGTTTGAAGTGGTTAAGACTATGGTTCTGATGCATGGTCACTATCGGTGTCATTCTTTAATGTTGTCTAAGGAATCCAATTTTGACTGACAAAGGGACGCGCCTTTGGAGGGTGTTCCAACACTCCGAAGGGTATAAATAGCGGGACCTTTCAATTAGAACCCATTCCTTGCGATGAAGGCAAGAATGACAACTGTATCAAAACCGAATACTTCATCATTTTTCAAAAGGGATGAAGTAATACGACATGCACTAAACTCAGGACACGGGATATACTACAATAGATCAAATTACTGGTCGCAGTAGTTTTATGTCTCGAACAGAGGAGAAAAAAAACGCACACCGTATAAACCACAGTTGCATTTGGGACTTGCAGGGTTCGTTTATTTTCTCTATTCATGTATAGGCTACCAAGTACACCTAGTCGTAGCTGCTAAATACCATCTATTAGGAACAAACATAGGTAGGTATGTGATTTAACGAGACAGCTTTTGGGTTGACATTTGAATACAATTTCTACTTACACGACAGGGAGAGAGTGAAAGTCATCTATTACAGACAGTCTACTGTACCGATATTATACGACGCCAGAATCCCACAACAACAGAACCCCTAAGCTAATCGATCCTCATTCTTTGTCACGCCCAAGTCACAAGTGTAATCACTCGACTCAGCAAATCAAATATTTCCAAACAAATTATTACTAAATCCCTTTCATAAATCCTTTCTCCATTAAGTAAATAATATAGGAAACACGCCCGAAGCACCGATCCCACGCTTATAGAGCATTTTTTTCTAATCTTGTCTATATCAGCTCACACTTCAATTGAAAACCCATGTCCAAACCCTCACTCATGTCATCGACACATTAGAGACGACAATTATACAATATCCCTTCTTTGAAAACTAACTAGGCCAACTAACCTCAGGCAATGAAACCAGATCTTCCACATAAGCAATAACCATCCTCACCTACCCGTGTACTAGATTAAGAGAACTTATCGATAGGAACACTATTTTGAATAAAGACAGAAGGTTGTTTTAAATGGCGACCGTGACAGGACTGAAACTATGGGATTCCCTTAGAGTGCGTTGTGGGTAAACATCTGTTCACTGTTTGTAAACAACTAGGTTCGTGATAAGATCACTGTAGGGTTCATTCAGTTGGGATTGGCAGTCTTCTTTCGAACGGTGATCAGTCAAGATGCAGAAATTAATTACTCGGTTGATAGTTTGTGCGACTTTTGCAGTCTGTTCCTGTCAGTCTCCTCCAGTTTGGGACGTTGTGACTACCTGTCACATACCAAACGAGTCCATCCAAGGACTATGCCAGGATCCTGTCGATTGCACAGCATTCCGGCAGATAAACGATATCACCAGTATTGGCAACATGAGTCGGTTGAGTTTCGTGAAACAGGTTCAGTGTACTGGTGAGGAAGAGGGAAAGGTGTGCTGTCCGCGGGATGGAGGATTGTACAGTAATCCTTGGATCGATGTGACGAACGTTATAACGAGAGTAAAAGAAAATCCTTTGAGTATTAAGAGCAGAGTTGGAAGCCAAGAGATGGAGTGTGGACAACAGGACTTTGGCATGCTGGTCAACCATGGGCAAATAACTGATATTGACGAATTCCCGTGGATGGCACTTTTGATCTACGAGAAGGCAATGAATCCGGTTGTACCCGGATGCGGAGGGGCGTTGATCAGTCAGTCGTTTGTCGTCACTGCAGCGCACTGTTTAGTGGGACCGATTATTCAAAAGAAGGGAAACTTGTAAGTGTATTGAGATGATGGTGAGTGGGTGGGCATAAGCTAATCATTGTTTTTGTTGCACAGAAAATTTGTTCGTGTAGGTGAATATGATCTAAAAAATGATCCCGACTGTACAGTTGAAGGGATGTATGCCGATTGTACAGATGGAATAACTGATGTAAAACCCAGACGTACGATCGTTCATCCAGACTTCGTATCGACCGCCGTTAGTCAACATCACGACATCGGACTGGTGCAGTTGGAGCGCCCTCTCGAGTTTAGTGCCTTCATTCGTCACATATGCTTGCCAAAACCGGGAAGCAGCGTCTTGGGTAAGAAGTTCAGTGTTTGTGGCTGGGGTCGAACGAATTTCTTCACCGATGGACTTGGAGACAATGTTCCTAGTCCGATTAAGCTGAAGACATTCCTTCCATTTTTCGACCACGGAAAATGTTCCGAAATCTACCAACCACAGAACCTACAACTTATCAACGGACAGATCTGTGCCGGTGGACGCAGTGAGCGGGATACTTGTTCAGGAGACAGTGGATCTCCGTTGATGTTCTTGGATGACATAAAGCATCGTTGGGTGCTGAGTGGACTGGTGAGTATGGGACCTCAAAATTGTGGAACTGCTGGCAAACCTGGAATATACACCAATGTTGCGGAATACGTAAAGTGGATTAAAACAAATGCTGACCTGTAGATGCAATATGTATTTAATTTCAATTTACAATCAAGAAAATATGCAATTGATTACAACTGTTAATCGTATCCGAAAACAATTCCTTTGGCTGAATCCTAGGAAGATACATAGTTACTAAAGTAACCACCAAGCCCGCTAACTACCCGTTAATGGCCCTTTTTGCAATATAAGGTAAATATAGGGTTTCCCAACTTTATATCAGTCGTATATCAGCCTTGTTTTGCAAAAAGGGCGATTAGCTGGCTTGTTGGTTACTTGTGTAACATATTCGAGTAGATGCCAGGCTTATTAAATGTCCCACAGGAAGTGGGCCTCTTACTCACGATTCCACTGAGAACCCATTTTGTCTGACTGTACTTCCATCTATTAAAGTCCTTTTAAACAAACCACCTTGATGAGGTGGATATAGTTCATTCAGGACGGTCAAATCGTAACCAGCACCAAGCCGATTATATATGGATTGCTGTGATTGCTGTCTTATATCGTTTTTGACATTTGCCGGTATAGCTGCAGCGGCACCAAATACCTCACCGTATCAGCTTTACGTTTGTTTACAAACCATTTATGTTGAGTTGACAATGGAATGCATTTGTTGGCACCGTTTCACCGGTACGGAACCGTTTTAAAATCGAAAACGAGATAGAGATTGCTGACGTTTATCGTACGCACACTACGTCAGGTATTCGTATTCGTAAATGTTTTAGTTGAGATATTTTTTCCGTTGCAGAAAATTTTCCCGATGAAAACAAATCACTAATGTCGTTTTCGTTTTTGCGGTATAGCACCGGTCACGAGTCTTTGACAGCTCAACATCATTTGTTTGTAAACAAAGGTGTATCCTATATCTACACCTTAAATTATTTCGGTGTACGGCAGTGTAGCACCGGTGTACTTTAACAATCTCTATTAGTGGATCGAAACTAAACGTCAAACTGGGGGCAAGACAGCTGTACTCAGAGTAAATATATTTGCAGCGAGTAAATTTGGCTAAAAAATTAGCAAAGTAGTTTCGATTTTCTAATCAAAGAAAATATCGCTTGACAGCATATTTATATGACTGAACATCAACAGGCATTATTTGCCCCAATGATGTAACTTAAACTAAACATGAAAAGTACTAAAACAAAACATCAATAGTCATCTCGTAAAAAAAGGAACATAACTAAACAAACTAAACTGATCTAGAAAAAAAACGAACTAAACCTCCGGCGAACCAGCTGGCGAGTCAGGTTAAAATCAAACAGTGCGGAGACCCTATTGAAGAGTCTCTGTAAACCACCGATTGCACCGAACATGCTATAATTAGTTCGCTGTATGGGCAGGCGCAGCATTGAATTATTCCGTAGGGCTCGGGGTTGAATATTTATGTCAATTTGCTCAAGGAGGACAGGGCAATCGGTGCGTCCTTGCAATATATCTGCAATTTGCAATGCCCTTGCTGTATCTATTCGGACCGACAGGCGCTCCAGATGGATCAGTTGCAAACGACTTTCGTAGCTAGGCAATCGGAAGGGATCCGTCCACGGCAGTTGACGTAGCGCATATCTCAGGAACCGTCGCTGAACAGACTCAACTCTTTCGACACCGTTGTTGTAGTGAGGAGTCCAGACAACCGAGCAGTATTCTAATATGGAGCGAGACAAGGAGCAGTACAACGATTTAAGGCAGTAGATATCCGTGAAGTCTTTGGCAATCCTGAAGATAAACCCTAGAATTCTGGAAGCTTTGTCGACGGCGTGTGAGATGTGCTGCTTGAAAGAGAGTTTTGTATCCAGAATCACGCCTAGGTCCTTAATTTGGCTGACGCGCTCAATTTCAGTGCCTAACAAAACAAACTTGAACATAATAGTCTCTTTCTTGCGCGAAAAAGAGATAACCGAGCATTTGGACGGGTTAACCTCCATACGATTCAGAATACACCAATCAGCAAAAGCATTCAGCTGACGTTGAAGGAAGCAACAGTCTTCAATTGAATGAATTCGGAGGTAGAGTTTAAGTGATCACCAACAGTAAGATAACGATCGGTGAGGTACGACTGAAACCATTGCAAAAGGCAGCTGTGGATACCAAGCCTGTCCAGTTTAGCGATTGATATGCGGTGATTCAATTTATCGAAGGCAGCAGATACGTCAGTATAAATGACATCCGTCTGAGCACGATCCGACATACTGTTAGAGATGTAGGAAGTAAGGCACTGCAAGTTAGTGGCAGTGGAGCGACCAGCCATGAAACCATGCTGGTCGATACTAATATACGGCTTACAGTGAGCGAGTAACGGTTCCAGAACAACAAGTTCGAACAATTTAGCAACAGCGCTAAGCGAAGTAATGCCACGGTAGTTGGTAACGTCCTATTTGTTGCCTTTTTTATGTACTGGAAACATGTGCGCTAGCTTCCAACAGGATGGGAAAACTCCGACGTCCACAGACCGTTGAAAAACGTGCAGCAGTGGAGACAACAAACTGTCCAAGTGCGTTTTGAGGAACGCCGATGGAATTCCGTCAGGACCCGGATTGTATGACGACTTGAGTTTCGAGGAAGCCCTGAAAAACATCTCGGGATTGATGTCAATTCTGCTCATGGTTTGGCCATAGAGTGGTACGTAACTGGCAGCCAGTCGGGCATGGTCGTCACTCAGTCTCTCGTCCGTGAAGACACTAGCAAAGTTTTCAGAGAACAGCTGACAGATATCTTGCGTAGATGAGGCCACGTTACCATTATGTGTCATAGACGACGGCAGACCAGCTTCATGACGTTGTTCGTTGACAAACTTCCAAAACTGCTTGGGACGTGACTCAAGCTTTCTCTGCAATCCACGTCGATACTGAAGAAAGCACCGTTTCGCAACTCGTTTGTATGCGTGATTGATCCTGACATAGTGACGTTGAAGGGATAGTGTGCGGTGTTTGGTGAACTTCCTAAGAGCGGCTCGCTTTCTGGATTTCAGTCGACGAAATTCGCTCGTATGCCATGGTGGATGGGTCGTATGATGATGAATCTTTTTCGGAACGTGTCTGTCAATGATATATGCCAAGACATTGGAAATAGTTTGAGCGGTGGACTCAATGTCAACGGTGTCCAATAAGTCGTCTCAATCTAAATTGGAGAGTAACTCGGCGATACTACCATGGTCAAAGTTGCGAAAATCGTAGGAAACGGTGGCAGGTGATATATTAAAATCATGCATCAGTAGCGGCGGGTGGTGACGATCCAGTCTCACCAGAGGAGTGGGCATAAGAAAGGAGCCATGTCCTGGGCGCTTACAAAACAAAGATCCAAACTGCGGTTGTTCTGGTTAATAACATGGTTGATTTGAGAAAGAGTGGCTGAGCTGTAAATGTCCAGAAGGAGCGAAGCGTAGGAATGGATGACAGAGTGATCCATGTCAGGATAGAGGAAACCGTTGCGAGTTTTTTTTTCCATGAAATCCCCGGGAGATTGAAGTCACCAAACACAATAACTTCATCGGTTGCTTTGGCGGTATCCAGAACAGAGAAAACCGATTGGCAATGGGTTTCGATGAGGTCACGCTCCCGTATACGGTCGGGAGGAAAGTAAACCGCACAGAGAAACAAGGTACGATCGCCCAGTTTAATCGACGTCCACACCTGCTCTAAGCATGTCCAAGCATTATTTTCTAGTAACCTCGCTCTAAATCTAGAATTTATAGCCACTAAAACACCTCCACCTTTAACTTTCCGACTATTAGCAGCATTCCTATCGCAGCGGAAAACTTCATAATCGTCGCCGAACACCTGACGAGAGAGCGTGCGTGAATCCAACCATGTCTACGTGAGAATAATGACGTCGTAGCAAAGATCCGAGGTAGCTACGCGAAAATCGTCGACATCACAGTTGATACCACCGACGTTCTGATAATACAGCAGCAAGTCTGAAGGAGCAGGTATAGTTTCAATACGTCCTAGAGTCTAAGTAACTTGCAAAGGATGCCTTGATGGTGCAGGCGAATATTGGCTGGAAGCAATGAGCGGATCAGGAGTCGTTGAATCGATAACAGAAGTTGACTTGCCTATGCTGTCGAGTTAGAAGACCCCTGCACTACTCCCACACGAAGGGCCGGGACGACTGCTGAACGCTGGCTGGAATGGCTCGACTGCGGTGGGAAGTACAAGGGCTTCCATGAGGCCAACTTCGGTGCGTCCCAGTGTACAGCTGCCTAACTGTGGCTGATAAGAAAAGCCAAATGGAATTTGCCGGACTGGCAAAGAGTTTGGATGAAGTTCGGTAGAGACAAGTGAAACATGTGTCAAAGAAGATGGCAATGACGAAACCGGCCATTCAGGAACAGGTTGGTTTACGAGCTCTGTGCAGCGATGGGATTTGTCACTTATTATGTCATGGCGTTGTCTTGGTGATCCGGGTAATTGGGCGACTCCATGCTGGGGGATAAATTGGTATTTGGCGTTAGAGAAGGGTTCCAAAAATTTGTAACATTCCTGTTGTCCTTGAACTCAAGGAATAGTATTCCCTTTGGCCACGTTGCAGTCAAAAGAGCCTTTGCTTTCAGCTCAGGACTCATACCGAGTTTGAATGAAATGAATGACCGACTGCTGACATTCTTACCATTGGCGACTAGTCTGAATGTCTCAACGTCATTTATTCCTAACCTCTGCATCGCCAGTTCACGTACTTGCTCCACTGCGACGTCACGAGAGATACGCGAAAGGTAGAGCCAAACCTTCTGCCTTGGAGGTGGTACAGCAAAAGCGCCGATAGATGGAGATATTGAGCTTGCAGTTCCACACAGCAAATCCTGTTGACGGCGTTCAGCAGCTTCAGGTTTACGGAACAATCGTCGGCTTCGCAAAGACCGAGCGATATTAAGTATTAAATCCGGATTCGGGTGGATACATCGGATCGACATTTATGTCCGTCTTTATAACCAAAACCATGGTGCCAAGAAGGTCCTAAGCTTGTAAACATGGTACAATTGCATTTTGAAGATTGTGGTGCTGGGGCTCATTTGCTTGCCAACGTCGCTTGAAGCTAAAACCCAAATTCTAATTTGAATATTCTTCTCAAATCTTAGCTGATTCAATTCTTCAATACTTACTAAAGCTTTGTTTACTCTTTGGTGAACTAGAGATTAAAACGAGGACAGGAACTCCTATTCTTTATTGTCCACATATCCTGCAGCGTGTGATCCTCGACGAGAGGGCTGGAACGATAACTTTCCAGAACAGTTTTCGTCCTTCAGCACTTTTAATTCTTCCACCGCTTTGCTGTCAGCGGTACACTGAACGAATTATTTGCCAGTAGTTATTATAATTTTGATAAAATAAAATAATCGAATCAATGTTTAAACATTGGTTAAGCATAAAATGATTAAATTTTAATCCTTCATATTTTAGTAATGTTTTTGAGTGTGCAATTCCATCGCCGAAATGTCTTCCCAGGTAAGCATTGCTAGCGCACCGTTTGCTGCTAGCCGCTTCAGCTTCAGAACGTCAAAAAGCAGAACTGTAACTTGACTTCTGGACGATTGAATTTCATTATGTGACTGATATACGATTACTTTGCTTGATGGGACAAACAGACTTGATGTTGTTTTCACATTTTTCATTATCAAAGTCCATAGTTTGATCACGTAATATGAAAATAGATGCCAATTGATAGTAGATAGCGAAGATAGATAGATTCAAGAAAATCCATATGGGACTGATATGCGATTATAGGCAGTACACTTCACTCCAATTCCAAAAATACCCATATTGTGGGGTATTTGACAAAATTTCAAAGTTTTTCTGTAACATGATGTATCCATCTTGGATTTCAAAATGGCATCAGACATCAATTTCCGGATCCGGACACGTCACCCCGATTCCAAAAATACCCATATTGTGGGGTATTTGACAGTATTCACTAACCGGAAACCACAATCTTGGATTTCAAAATAGCGTCAAACATGGATTCTGATTCCAAAAATACCCATATTTTGGGTCGTTTCACAGTATTCCCCAATTTCTCAAAATCGCAAAAAAAACCCCGATGTTTGGAATTTACTTCCTGAAAAGACGTAAATTGAATACTGCATAAAAAAGACTTCGTAAACGGAGGTTTCAGTGTATTCAGAAAGTTCTGGGCAAAATTTGAAGAAACTTTCGAAAAAAATCACATATAGGCAATTGGCCGAAAACTCCTGGAGTATTCATTTCCAGGGAAAGCTAGAAGAAGCTCGGTAAAACCTTCCAATAGAAGTTGGAAAAAATCTCCGGAGGAAGCTCATGGAGAAACTTCTGGGAAAAAGAGATTTCTGGGGATGTCGAAAGAAATTAGTGGTGAAAATCGGCAGGATCTTCTAAGGAAAGTTAGCACAATCTTCCGGGGGAAGTTTAAAAAGTTGGTGGGAGAAGACGGAAAAACCTTTCGAGCAAAGCCAGCAGAAGCTTCCGAGGGAAGCCGAAATAACGTTCCGGGAGGAATCAGAAAAAAAGCCTACGAGATAAGGAGGAAGAAAGTTCCAGGGACAAGTTGGAAGAAACTTCCAAGGGAAGATTAAATAAAATAGTTAAAAACTGAACATTCTGATGGACCTTTTTGATCAAATAAAAGATAAAATATTTCACAATTGGAATTACCGGGATGAGTCATCAGCAGACGAATAATTATGTGAGCATTTTGAAGGATCCAGGGTGCCTTCCATTCATTTTGGATAAAAAAATGTTTTATTAAATTATGGAATAATAAGATATTATAGTAATATTTTGATTGTGTAAGCAACAAGAAAGGACTGTGAAGTTTGTGTTTGACACATAATACCTGCCAATTTTGCTACACGAGTGTCGCAATAAGTGATTTTGTCATTTATCTTACCCACTCTTCGCTCTTCATTCTTCGCGAAGAGGCGATTAGAAAATCGCTCATTGTGATTCTGCCAAAGCTAAATTTGCAGGTTTTATGCGTCAAACACAAACATTACAATCTTTTTTTGTTACTTACACATACAAAATATCATCATAATATCTTATTATTCTATAATTTAATAAAACATTTTTTTAGCCAAAATGAATGGAAGGCACCCTGGAAGGATCCAAGAAAATTTTACATATTCAAAAGATTAAAGTTACTCATATTTTCATTGTTAAAAAAGTCGGTATATCTGGCAACACTGGATCGGATACCTACCAAACGTTATGGAGAACATACAGTTGATTAAAGCAAATGCACAGTTTAAAAATTTATTACAAAGAAAAAGCGAAATTGGTTTCAACTGTTAATCATATAGCATTCTGTAAAATCCAGGGAAGATAGTATTTCACATTCGTGTAGATGCCAGGCTTGTTGGTTGTCCCACAGGAAGTGGGCCCTTTACTCACGATTCCGCTGAGGACCCACGTCTCTTTGACTCGATCGAAGAACATCAGCGGTGAACCACTGTCTCCGGCGCAGGTATCTACACCTTTTCTGCCACCCGCACAAAACTGTCCCGGTCCCAAATCCAGCTGCTGAGATTCATAGGCTTTCATGCAATCTTCCGCCTTGACGAACGGCAAGCTAGCTTTCATCTTGATGGGGCTTACGGTTCCCTTTAGCTTGTTAACTGCAAGAAAACACAAAGATGAGACTTATCTCTTTTCCTAGAAGCAATACTCATCAACTAACAAAAGTTCGTTCTACCCCATCCACAAACTTGGAAGATTGTCCGCTCCGCTAAGCCGACGCGTAGTCCAGTCCTTGGTAGGCAAACTGGTTGCAGAAAGTCCGTATATTCAACGGCTCGATCGAGTTCGATCAACCCGATATCGTTGTACAGTTGAATGTCGTATGGATCATAGTTCGGATGAACTCTAATAGACTTGGGACGTGCGTCAATTTTCTCCTCGTTGCAATCCCTATAGTTTTCGAATTCAGTCTTTAATACGGTACAGTCCGGATCGGACTCGGTATTGTACTCTCGTAGGCGGACGAAATGTCTGGAAATGGTATTCAAAAATTAGTCTGTTCGTGATCAAGCCTTCAATGAATGATGAGTTATTTTGATAGCTACGAATGAACTGAAAATGCAACAAAGCACCAGGCATGGTTTTGACATTAGCTACTGCTTTTGTGAATGCTCAAATCTATATCTCTAATGCATGATGATCTAGAGCGGGCCGAATGTAATTTGCATTCACTGAAAGACAATGGTGGGTTCTGTTCGCTCCGGTTCATCATGCATAACCAAGAAACCAAAAATATCTCCAAATGACAAAATGACAAGCGATCAACGAACCGAAGTCAGAAGTGCAAAGCAATAATGATATAATCTTCTTCCTTCTTTTTCATGACAAGCAGCCCGTGCGACACAACTCACTCGGGGCGGTAGAAGGAAACGAGCAAATTGTTGGCAAGCTGCTTCACGAAGTAAAGCCGAACATGATACACGTGTGTTAATGGGATTTTTTTTGTTATGTCTTTTCTCGATTCATATCAAGCTATGCCCTCATCCGTGTATATTGCAACAAAGCAGGCAAGCAATATATCATTATCCTTCTACCACTCGGACCGAGCTATGTTACAGAGCGAGTTTGTCATGGTAGTCCCAGGAACTATTGTGTCTGTATCGTTGGTTGCTTTATGTGTTTGGATTCGCTGTGCATAAAGCTGGGTTTAGACTAGGCAAGTCAAATGATCAACTCAGTTGAATTCAATTGGCTTGAAAAGTTGAGCCTGGTTCAACGTTTTTCAATTCAAGTGAGTTGATCAAGTCAGTTGTATGGCATGGTTTACACGTTCAATTTGCGTTCAAGTCAGTTGAATTCAATTGACTTGATCAATCGACTTGCCCTGTCTAAGCCCAGCTTAACAGATACCGATTTGAGCATTCACAAAGCAGTAGCTTATGTCAAAATCTACAAAAGCTTCATACATAATTTTACGGAGTTTTGTTGATGAAAAAAATGAAATTAATGTCCATGCCGGTCAAGCACTGTGAGAGAAAGTTGTAAATCTTGAATTCGGGAATTTCAAATACTTGGAGTTTTAAGACGCTTTTTTTTTATTTTTTTATATAAACTAAAGTCGAATTTCCACAAGTCTCTGCAAGACGCGGAACATCCGTAAAAGTGGTCAATGAAACTGATCCTAGAGCTCCGTTTTTTTCGAAATCGCTCAAAGACGTCTTATTACAATTAATTTGGAGTTATAACCAGAATTTGGACTCTAAGCACTACAAGATGGTCCGTTGGAAGATCCGGAACATCGATTAAGTGGTCAATTCATGAAAATGATCCTAGACTGATACTGATAACCTTTACGGATGTTCCGGATCTTCCAGAGGTCCATTTCATGATCCCTGGGTCCATAATCCAATCACAACTTTGGATTCATGTTGAAAAGACGTCTATGAGTGGATTCTAAAAAACCACTGTGATCTAGGATCAGTCTCATGAAATGACCACGTTTTTGGATGATCCGGATCTTCCGGAAGACCATCATGTAGTCCATATTCCTAAAACCACTCAGAATTTATTCTGATAAGACGTCTACGAGTGGTTTTTACCAAACCACGGAATTCTAGGATCAGTTTCATGAATTGACCACTTTTACGGATGTTCCGGATCTTCTGGAGGACCATTCCTTAGTCTCCAGAGGTGATATTCCGAACACAGCTCTAGTTTCAAGAATTGACACTTTCACGGATGTTCCGGATCTTCTGGAGGACCATCCCGTAGTCTCCAGAGCCCATATTCCGAACACAACTCCGAATTCATTGTGATAAGATGTCTATGAGCGGTTTCGAAAAAAAACCGGGGAGTTCTAAAATCACTTGCTTGAGTAGACCACTTTTATGAATGTTGCGAATCATCCGGAGGAACATCTCGTAGTCCCCAGAGTCCATTTTCCGGTCACAACTCCGAATTCATTCTAATAATACGTCTAAAAGTGGTTTCGACAAAACCACGGAGGATCGGTTTCATGAATTGACCACTTTTTTTGCTGTTCCAGATCTTTAAGTGGACCATCCCGTAGTACCCAGCGTCCATTTTCTGGTCACAACTCTGAATTTATTGTGATTAGACGTCTATGAGTAGTTTCGAAAAAACCACGGAGCTCTAAGGTCTGTTAAAAAAAAAATTACCACTTTTACGGATGTTCCGGATCAACTGGTGGACCATCCCTAAGTCTCCGGAGGTCATATTCCGAACACAACTCTGAATTCATTCTGATAAGATGTCTATGAGCGGTTATTAAAAAACCACGTTGCTCTAAGATCAGTTTCATGAATTGACCACTTTTACTGATGTTCCGGATCTTTTAGTGAACCAGCCCGTTGTCCCCAGTGTTCATTTTCTGGTCTCAACTCGGAATTCATTGTGAAAAGACGTCTAAAAGTGGCTTCGAAAAAAACAACCACGGAGCTCTAGGATCAGTTTCAAAAATTAACCCCTTTTACAAATGTTCCGGATCTTCCGGGGACCATCCCGTAGAGTCCATATTGCGGTCACAACTCCTAATTAATTCCGATGATACGTCTATAAGTGGTTTCGACAAAACTGCGGAGTTCTAGGATCGGTTTCATGAATTGACCACTTTTAAGGATGTTCTGGATCTATTAGTGGACCATCCCGTAGTCCCAGCGTCTATTTTCTGTTTACAACTTCGAATTCATTGTGATAAGACTGAATTGACCACTTTAACGGATGTTCCGGATCCTCCACAGGGCCAGACATGTGACCTACCGGTAACTGACTATTACCAACAGGTGTCCAACTAACAACTTCTTCAAAGACATCAGGAAGTTATCTCTTCAAATTGCCGTACAATCAGTGTTTGGTTCCAATAAGCTCCCACATGGCAAGTGTATTCGTTAATGCCGGATCGATCATATTATAGGAATGCAGAAGCTGTACTATACTATGTACTATACCATCGATGATTAACGCATAGCGGTTTCGGATCGTTGCTTCGACGTCATCGCTCTCACTGAGACTTGGATCGATACTCGGACATTGTCAAATCAAGTGTTTGGTTCCGAATACGAGGTTTTTCGATGCAATCGGAATCCGCACAACAGCCGCAAATCTACTGGTGGAGGCGTTCTCATAGCGGTCGGTTCTGGATTTAAGGCAAAAGTTATCGAAAACGATTCATGGAATTGTGTGGAACAAGTTTGGATTGCCATTAAGCTCGCTGACCGCACTTTGTTTTTGTGTGTAGTTTACTTTCCTCCGGATCGAACTCGCGTTAATTGAATCCCAAAGTTAGTTTATTCGAGCAATAATGGAGATCTCTACAGCTGCTGATGAGATGATTATCATTGGCGACTTCAATCTACTGGCGATTTCTTGGCGATCATCTTACTGTGGATTCCTGTATCCGGACCACGACCGTTCTACATTTCACTCTGGAGCTGTAAGCCTTTTGGATCCTTACAGTATCACCACTCTGAAGCAAATCAACCACGTGGTTAATGAGAACAATCGTAGCTTAGACCTTTGCTTCGTCTCCGCTCAGGATACTGCTCCGCATTTGTCTATGGCTGTTTCTCCGTTGATAAAGACTGTTCCATCCTCCTTTAGTTATTACACTTGAAGGCAACCAAATTCCTGAGTTTATTAACCCCCCCCCCCCCCCTCAACTATAGGTCTCCTACGATTTCCGAAATGCTGACCACGACAGTATCGGGGAACTTCTTTCGAATTTGGACTGGCACAGGAAATTCGTCCCTGCCAATATCAATGCAGCTGCCCAAACGCTCTCGCATATTTTGGCTTACGTCATTGAGCGACACATCAGATCCCAAACAAGGTAATCATCATCCTTGGCAAACAAGTGCACTCCGAATGTTAAAGTCTTTCAAAAGAGCCACGCTCAGAAAATACATCAAGTACCACACCCTACAACTCAAGGACCATTATGCGACGATCAATCAAGCGTATCAACGAACCAGTCGCCAATGTTATCGGCGTTATCAACGAGATGTTCAACGGAAGCTTCGATCTCACCCGAAAACTATTTGGAATTATGTGAATGAGCAACGACAGGAGTCTGGCCTTCCATCGACTATGGTACTGAACGGCGAAGAAGCTTCTTCCCCTCAGGACATTTGCCGTCTATTCTCAACCAACTTTGCGAGTGTATTCTAGGATGAGAACCTACCAGACGAGCACGTTTCTCTAGCAGCCAGTAATGTTCCAATGTCTGGTCAATCTTTGGCAGCTATCAACATCGACCTCACTATGATAACTAGGGCGGCTTCGCAACTGAAGTCTTCATTCAAGCCTGGACCTGACGGAGTTCCTTCCGTCTTTCTCAAGCAACACATCGATAGACTGGTGGCTTCTCTCTGCCTTCTGTTCGAAATGTCCCTCTCCAGTGGGGTGTTTCCTTCCTGCTGGAAATTAGCTGAGATGTTCCCAGTGCATAAGAAGGGATGCAAGAGAAACATCAACAACTATCGCGGCATCACATCGTTGTGTGCCATATCTACCGTATGCGTGATAATGTTTGCACTATCGTACAAATTAGGTTCCTGTATCACCTGTGTGCAGACAATGCCTTGTTTTTCTTTGCATGCACGTAACCTATAGCTCATACCGTAGTAGGCTGTTTATAAAAGAAAATGATTTACTTTGTTTGACAGTTGTACCATGACGAAGTGGCAGCGTATTCGTGATTTGTCCAACGCGCAAATGTCGCAAAAAGACATTTCAATCGCCGTGGGAGTGTCCCGGTGGACCGTCAAAAGGGTTTTAGATCGAGAAAAGAAAGGAAAACTATCCGCGAAGGTAGCCACAGGTCGTCCGAGATCAGCTCGGGTTCCGAGAATTATCGGTGCTATCAAAAGGAAGATTCGGATGAATCCAGTTCGTTCAATAAGGAAAATGGCAAAGGAACACGGGGTCAGTGACTTTACGGCACGGAAGATCGTAAAGGAAGATTGCGGGGCGAAGTCGAGGGCACGGAAAAAAAAACTCACATGATTACCAACCGCATCCGGGAGCTACGAGTCGAACGATGCAAGAAAATCTTGAACTTCCTTAAGCTAAAAAAATGGGTAATGCTGTTCACCGACGAGAGCATGTTTACCGTCAATCCCGTATCAAATTCTAGAACCGACCGGTATATTAGTTATCTTCCGGTAAAAGACGTGGCCGACGAGCACAAGAACGTGTATCTGACCAAGCATCCTGCTAGCGTTATGGTGTTTGGATTGGTGGCTTCCGATGGCAAAAAAAAATGGACCCGGTGTTCATTCCAGAAGGCGACAAGGTCAACACGGAGGTCTACATTGGGATTTTAAGTAAATATGTTCTTCCGTGGATCAAAGAACAGTACGGTCCGTAGCCAAATGTTGTATTTCAACAAGATGGGGCTCCGTGCCACACCTCGAACTGCACTCAGAAGTGGTTGCAGGAACATCTTCCGTTCTGGGCGAAGGATACGTGGCCACCATCTGACCTATCAGCCACCTTCGACAAGTTGAACCATCCTATAGCGAACGCCAAACTAGATAGGCTCGGTATAAACGGCAGTCTCCTGCGATGGTTCACATCTTATTTTTCTGATCGTCAGCTGGAAGTTGCAATCGACGACTGCCGATCTCCTTCGTTCCCTTCCACCTCGGGTATTCCGCAAGGTAGCCACCTCGGCCCGTTGATATTTCTTGTGTGTTTCAACGACGTCAATTTCGTCCTCGGCGGTCCACGACTGTCGTTCGAATCCGAGCCATCGCTGACTTGCACCTTCTCCAACTCCAACTCAACGCTTTTGCTAATTGATGCCAACTGAACCGCATGGTTGTAAATCCAACAAAATGTTCAGTAATCACGTTGTAACGGAAGAAACATCCAATTACATTCAGTTATATCCTAGAAGGCGTTGACGTACATCGTGTGAATCACATTAAGGATCTGACAGTCATCTTAGACTGTCAACTCACATACAGCCAGCATATCTCGTACGTGATCAACAAGGCATCCAGAACGCTCGGCTTCGTTTTCAGGATAGCTAATAGTTTCACGGACATCTACTGTTTGAAGTCGCTTCACTGTTCCCTCGTCCGGTCGGTGTTAGAATACTGCTGCCTTGTATGGAATCCCAATTACCAAAACAGTGTACAAAGAGTAGAGTATATTTAACGACGATTCATCTAGTTTGCCCTTCGACAATTGCCTTGGAGGAATCCTCATCGCTTTCCAAGCTACGAAAGTCGCCTACACCTACAAATCAAACCTCCCATCTCTAGCGTGGTATGTTCCCTTTACACTTTCAAATACACCATACTCACAGTGGTCCAAGCTGGTCATAGTTGGGCCCGGCCAGGCAATGTGCAGCCGTCATCACAAATGTCCTACTGATCAGCACTCCACCGCAACCCTGGCGGTTATTCCGATAGAACAGTAATGTCGCCCAAGGGAATTCATCGATATCGGCAATCTTTCCCCCTACTATCCTATCCTTGAACGCCACCTCCTGCCCACATGAGTAGCACAAATCAAATAGGAGTGGCATGATTGGCCTTGGATTCCTCTCCAACCGTGGAACGTCCGATGACAGCTGAGGATCCTTATAGGCACCGCTTTGCGGGCAACAAACTCTCGTTTCATCGGTCGATTCACACTGCAATGCCTTAACGAAGCTGAACGTCCCAATCGAGCAAAGCTCTTCTTCTATGATAATATTTTGAAAGGCCTGACAATCCTGAGGTTTGACGCAAATTCCCTTTTCCGCTTCATTAGGGATGTCACAGGCGTCGTACTCTAACAAAACCGGAACAGCATCTGCAATGAACACCAATCATCACGTGCACCTGAGAATCTATTTTTTTTTCACGGCTAAAATTAACTAATGAACTGATGCAAACCTTGCTGTGAGGAAGAACCGGTCAAAACTATTACCGCAAGTACTAATTTCGAGAAAAACCGCGTCAGGCTATCAGGAGCCATGTCAAATGAATGAAAGTGCAAACGACAAAAAAATCAAATTGAGCTAAAACCAACACAACAAACTGATAACAAACCAACGGCTGCTACAAAGTATGATTCGACCAATCGCCTTGATTTACGACTGAGGTAGGTCAGTTCTAGATGTTGGATTAAGAAAGCTGAAAAAAACGTGGTTATGGTGATTTGCTGTGAGATCATTATTCTTGCTACCGCTTCGAAACAGTAAGTGCACAAATATCAGCTTCCACGACACGTAGGGGAATTTACGTATTCTCGGCAACCTAAGCAGCGACCTTCTTTCTATAGCCTTTTTCTCTAAGGAACGCTCACATATGCAGTATTGGTTTGTTTACAATCTTTTGCTGCCAGCTGCTCTAACAATTTCAGTCGAAAGAATTGTCAAAAACTGTTTTGAAACGCTTTTACAAAGCTCCAATCTTCTCTAGTGAGAGCGAGTATTGTCGGCAACCAGTTTTTCTTCGGCAACCGTTCCATTTGAACTGCATGTAAATCTGCTGTTCTATTATCGGCAACTCGAAATCAGCTACAATTTGTAGTGCGTGTGTTTCATTTCAAGAAAACCTTGCTAGATTGCTTTTGCTCAGTAGTAAAAATATAGTCAAATAGAAGCTGAAAGCATAAAGAATCGTTTGCATGCATTCAGCGAAGTGTTTTCGTAAGAAAATCCAGTGAAAATAGTGTTTCAATTTGGGTTGCCGAAAATAGTCTGGCATGCCGAAGCCGTCATTTCCCCTACTACAATGAAACTGTTACTCCACGTTTGCTGCGGTGCAGCATACATCCAGTAGTAATTTCAGGTGGAATAGGGCTCTAATTTCCGAGATTTGTGTAATTGAAAATTCGAGTTGAAAGTGCATTTATAGCCTACGTGGCGGCCATTTGTGGACTCTACAAGGAATCTCCTTAAAGAATACACATCAAGTCAAACTGTTTGCATTTTTTTTTTTAATTTTTGTTGCTCATAATACACTTTTTAATCTCCAACGGAACTCCGGAATTTTCAGTTACTTCAGAAACCGTTAGCGGTTATTTAGTGGAGGTAATCAAATAGAATAACATGATGCTAGGGAAACCCCACATCTTGCAAGAACCAGTTCCATGCTCTTCGGAGGGGATTTGAGTGCCACAAGTGAGACAAGTTCATCTTCGTGATGCTTTCGCACGTGATTTGCACCTCGGTGTCCCAAAATAGCATTTTATCTTGAAACCTGGGGGCAAACCCACAGTTGATTTTCATTTAAATTGCGCTCAATTGGAAAATCCTATAAAACGTATAATATTTTCTACTGCTCTTCGAAATATGTGTCTTAAATGAAGGTCATATGAAAATCATTGACACATAACTTTCATTGGATTTTTCAAGCCGATATTTCACCCACGAACTGGAAGCAAACAACAGATTACCCTATTTGGATATAATACTGGTCAGACACCAAAACCAAAAGTTAACAACGGAATGGTACATGAAGCCGATCGCGAGCGGTAGGTTCTTGGACTACCTATCATGCCATTCACTAAAACTGAAGTTGTGAGAGTCAACTACCTATCAACGAACCTTGCAGAAGCGGAGGAAAATCGGATCATCGACGAGCAATTGAAACACAACCATTAAATATCCGGAAAAATTTCCGTCACCGACTCTGAATGAACGACGGCAAACGACGAACGATGATGAGAAATAGGTGGGATATACCTACCGATCCCTAGCATACATTCCGTACTTATCACACAAGATATAAAAGCTGCTGCAAAAGCACTACACCAACGTGAAAACGGCCAACTACAACATAAAAACAGGCAAACCAGTAGAGAGTGAACCTTCATGCTGAGATTTTTCAACACTAGGTTGAATATTCCGTCAAACCCGGGGGCCTTCATGTTTTTGGTGCATTTCAGCGCTGAGCAAATCTGTTCCACTGTGATTCTATCCTCCGGAGGGATGGCACAAGGGGAGGAATCAAGGTTGAGTACGCATTGCTCAACCTGAACTTCGAGCGGACTTTGGATGTTGGAGCCAAGCAAATGCGATTTGGCAATATGCTCACCAATCGCATTTGCTTTCTCCTGAGGGGTGATTATGAGCCGATCGTCATCATTTTCATCTTTTAGTGGCGGAATGGGTTTAGGGTGCGTCTTTAAGACCTTGGCAACTTTCAAGAATGGTCTGGAGCGGTCGTCCAGATTCTGGACAAGCCGCCCGAAACTTTCATTCCGGAGTGAGACCATTCTGGAAGCAATCTCCTTGTTCAGATCGGCCATTTCACGTTTCATCGCTGGATCTCCAGTCCTCTGAAACTAGCGTCTACGAACATTTCTCAGGCGAATTAAGAGTTGGGTGTGGGAATCAATAGCAATAAACTTACCCCTCACAGGAACTCGTCGGACGCACGCCTCGTCAGCCACGGTTATGGCTTGGTGGAGTCCCTCCAACGCTCGGTCGATGTCCTCCACGGTGTCAAGCGGCGGGTTGTCGATGATGTGCCTGTCTACCACGCGTCCAAACTGGGCCCAGTTTACGCGATGATAGTCCTTGCGCAGGCTTGAAGCAGGAGCCACGTTGCAGCCTAGCTCAGACACCACCGGTTGGTGGTCGGAACTGAGTTCGTTGAAAGCTACCGGCTTGGACAAGCCGATATTTGTCATGAACAGGTCTAGCGTCGATGGGTTGCCCGCCGGTGAGATAAATGTTGGCTCATCGAAGAACCAAACGGAGTACAGCCCATGCTGTGAGTGGTCGAACAGCAGACGACCGTTCTGGTTCTGCCTGTAGTTAAGCCAGGCCTCATGGCGCGCGTTTAGATCTCCTCCTACTACGAAGCGGGAATCGTTACGGGTGATGGTGGACAGGTCCTTCTTGAATTTAGCCGCTAGTCCACTGCTGGCGGCACACTGTCGAGGCAGTAGACGGCGATGAACTGGACGTATCCAGTCGACGAATCCACCTTCACACCAAGGGCCTCGATGATAGTGGTGCGGATATGGGACAGAGTGTGGTATTTTATTCCTTTCTTGACGACGACCGCAACACCACCCCCCCTGGAGCTGGTGCGATCAAGCCGGATAATGTTGTGGTCAGGCAACCAGAAGCTGTCGCCGGACTTTAGATGGGTCTCGGTTAGAAGGCCCACGTCGATGCTGTGCTTGCGGAGAAAGTCGGCAAGCTCAATCTCTTTTGCTCTTACAGAGCAAGCATTCCAGGTGACGATAGTTAGCGGTTTAGACGCCATACTGGATGATGAACTTACCGAGCACTTGGATCTGTTCGGGCTTATTGCGGCACTTACGAAGAGCGCTGGTCATGTTGACGAAAATTTCCATCAGTTCATCCGCTGAGAACAGATCGGGGTTGTTGTTTTGCGCTGTTGGTTGTCTCCAGAATCCAGGGGGGGGGGGGATGGAGAGCTTTGGCCAGCAGAATCACCGGAAGTGGCTTGAGCGGGATGCACCCGCGAATTCACTTGCCTTTGCTGAGGAGCACGAAGGGGTGGGAAATCCTCCGTCCGAAATGCCGGGACTTTGTCCTTCTTGCGTCCTGGTTGGTTGTTAGTTGCCGCCTGTTTTCGGATGCGTTTGAAGTCCTCGCGTTTGGAGCACTGTCTGTCGGAACCTTGATGAGCACCACCACAGTTGGCGCAGTTTAACGCCACGGCTCCATCCGCAGGGCAGTTGGAAGTGGCGTGTTCTTGAGAGCAGTTACTACAGCGTGGCTTGATGTTGCAGTTGCGAGTGCCGTGTCCAAAGTTCAGACATCGTTGGCACTGGGTCACATCGCGATGGCCTCCACGGTATGGCTCCCATCGTACGATTATGGAGTAGATTGAGCGGAAAGCTTGCAGCGCATTCAGCGTCACCGTTCCCTTCTGGAAGTGCACCAGGAAAAGACAATCCGGGTACGTCTTCACGTTTTCGTCTCGCCTCGTCATCCGAAAGACAGCGATTGGGGCCAGCTTGTACCGGTCCTTGAGTTCTTCTTCGATCGCCTTGGGATCAACATCCGGTAGACCCCTGATAACTACCATGAAGGGCTTTTCACCGGGGATGTCGTGCGTGAAATATTCCGCATTGGAATCCTTCAGGAATTTGACTGCGATTTCGTATTCCGCTTTCGTCCGGAGCATCACCTTAGTGCCGATCCTGCTGATCTTGTACTCAGCTGCTATGCCTAGCGATGCGAAATCGCCAATGAGCGTCTTGAGTGGCACTACCTTCACCACCAGTGGAGGAAGCTTGAGTTTAGCCGCACTCGGGCCGGCAGAATTCTTGGTTTCGACGGCATCGCCGAAATCACCGATGTCACTGGCGTTCGTCGCGGTAACATCGTCGCGTTCACTCGTACCATCGGACTGTCCTTGGTTCTTCTTCCTCTTTTTTGTCCGCTTCACCGGGACTGGGTTGGTATTTCCAACATCGGTGGGCAGAGTAGCGTACCTATTTGAGGTAGGTACCGAGCTACCCTCACCACTGTTCTTCTTCTCCGCTTGGTCGCGAAGTTGGCTCCGAGAGCGCTGTCTTCCACACTACTGACGACGCGACGTGCAGTATATCTGCGAACGTTTGTAACAAACTATAGATTTATCGAACAACTCGACAAAGCGAGCAAAGACCGAACTTAACTGCTTGACGTTCAAGCAGCTAATGATGAGCTGATACCAGAAAGCAGCGCTGCTTTATATCTTTTTAGGTTAAAGCAGAATGATGTGCAACCAAGTGGTATAAAAGCTACAAAGACTCCTCCCATTATGAGTAGTTTGCTATCAAGTAGCGACACTGGCTATTTTCTTTTTGCGTACACGGCGAATGAGAACGCCCCAAATTTGAGTTTAGTTCACTCATAATCGCCAAAAGTGTAGGAACTCAGCGATGAGTAAATTTGTTTCATGATTTCCTGTGGAAAACCTAAAAAATCTGCCAGAAAATGAGGAAATTGACGAAAATTTTATTCAGTCTCGGAGTAGTGCCAATAGACTGAGTGAATCCAATCTTTATTTTTCTCAAATTCGGGAATTTTTCCCTGGAAAATCCTGGAAAAACCTGGGAAAACATGAGGAATATTTACTCATCGCTGAGTTC